CTCTTAAGCAGCCAAAATCAAGCCTTCAGTTTCTTCTTTTAATGTTCCAGTTGTAAGCCATTGCCAGGTTTTATCTTTATCCACTTTCCCCTCGATCTTTTCTAGAAATTGACTATGTAATGCTTTTCCTTGCCAGCATTATTATTATTTTCTTGGTTTAAGGCTGTCCCAAAATTGTCACTTTCTTAACACCCAATTTATAGCTCCCAGCAACTACAGGCCACAGAACAAGACAGGAGGCTGAACTATCATAGTACAATATTTACACTAAAGGGCTGGTCTATATTTAATGTTACACCATTGTGCAGGATCCAAAGTTCTTAGCACATTAGAGAAGACAGCAGAGTGGCATCAAAATAACTTTTAAAAATATATTTTAAAGGACTGCCATATAGACATATAAAAATATTGTTCTTTAAACCAGAGCTTTCTGCAATAAGAAAACTACTTTTTCGATTTGCTGTATTTGTGATCTTTTGAACTGTCACCTATATAAAGAATTGTTAGTGAATTAATCCCATGATTTATAATCAATTGGTAATTAATTTATTTATTAAAGGTGATCTATTTGCATAAAGTGGCATATTGATAATACCAAGAAAAGGTTATGTTTTCTCAATAAAAATAATTCATCTGACTGATTTTACTGGAGTTTGTTAACTACATACTATGCGTGAGAATATTCAGCCACAAGAAAGGGTCTGACTCTGACTCCCCAGATATGGTATGATCTGTACCAGTTTTGTTTCTGTTTTTTCTCTGTTTCTAAACCGTGTTTTGATTTTTACTACAGCATTTAGTTTCCAGCTGTGTTTTTTTTTTTAATGGTGCTCTTATGATTTCATTAAATATATACTTTAATACTTTTTTATGTCAGTCTCCTCTCTCAGAAGATTTGTAGAACAGGACAAATAATTGCTACTGAAACTTTTTTATAGAGCTGATGAGTTGATTACACTCTTCATTTTTAGGATTCAATTTATATCAGATGAGATGGACTTTAAGTTTTGTGTTATATGATCTGTGGATTGGAGCAAGAACAGGTCTAGCAACTGCAATCTTTAATTTCATGAAATAATGTCCCATGAATGGTATTGGGGGAATGCAATCATTCAATCACTATCTGCTAATATGACCCTCTCTCCCCCACCACCCCTCCCCCCAATTTCAGATCCCTTTGGAGGAAAGAAGGAGCTGGTATTTTGCCATGTCCACTCTGCACATCAGGTGAGACACGGGAAGGAATCCAGAATGAAAAGTCACCATCACACCTCTCCTCAAAGAGGATATCAAAATAAAAAACAGAAGGAGAACATCTTGGGACAAACTGACATAGGTTTCTCATTCCACTGACAGCTAGAGAATGAACAGTTGTTATATTGTATTTTAAAACATGATTTTTTTTAAAAAAAATCTTGCTGTTATTCCAACTAGCTCACAATAACATTTACCCTTATTAATCTGTATCCTAACAAGACCCACATTAAGGTATCAAGATGATGATAACAGAACTATGATCAGATTTACAGAGTGTTTTAAAATGATATAATAAGTTACAGATAGCTTAATTGATATCAGTGGTATGGTACTTAAGAAAAAACTTTCATTATTTTCCTTGTGCTGTTTTCCTGATTTAAAATAGTCTCCTTCTGCTATTTTCCTCTGGTGATTTACACATACCTGCAAATTTCCTCTCAGAGGGCAAGTTGCAGCACTGAAGAAATATAGCTCAGGAAAACCTTGGTATATATACAGTGGTACCTCGGGATACGAACGCCTCTACTAACGGACGTTTCGGTTTACGCCCAGCTCCGGCAGGAAAAATTTCCCCCGGGTTATGACCTCGCCTCTAGTTACGAACCGGATCCGCGGCCATTTTCCCTGCTGCCACGCGGTCGCGGCTTCCTGTGGGCGAGGTCGCGGTAGCAA